TTGGGGTTCATCAAGGGTGGAGCAGTCATGGACCTCTGGCTGAAATGCTAAGAGTGATGATTCAAGTACTGTCGGTAAGTGTTGGGACAGGGGTAGTCCAGAGATGGGGTACGGGCCTGGCTACTTGGCACAGAAAGTGTGAGATGGGACAGGCACTGAATCTCCAGCTGAAAAACTCTAGGAGACGGTGGGGATAGTTTGAGTGCACCTAGTAGGCATCTTTGGCATGAGTCAAGCAGAGGTGAGGCAAGTTGGGATACAGTAAGAATGAAACAGGATAACAGACTCAAGACCTGTGGCTGAAACTCTAGGAGTGGCCTGTAATGAGTCAAGTGCATCTGGGTTGCATTTGGACTGAGTCGGACGTGGGAAAGGGTATGGATGAGGAGAAAGGAACCAGACTGATGACAACATAAGAAGAGCAGGTACATGACATTTCAGGCTCAGGTACTGGTAGACAGGGCTATGAAGAGGTTGAAGGGGGCTGTAGCATTTGGCTTAATTGAGATACAAAACAGACTTTGAATTTGGCAAATACTGAAGAGGCAACTGCATTAACACAGCAAGAGAGTAATGCGAGATGGATATTGGAGATTTGAAGGTTATTAATTGGTAGTGATTAAACTTACAACATATGCATGTCAGTGTCATGTTTTCTACATGTAGGTTAGTGACTGCCAGTGTTCAAGACTGCTTCATCCTCCCACTGCTGATAACTTCAACTGATCACTCGCATACCATCTGAAAACAAGAAGTGATACATGTGCTTTGCAGAAATGGGCTGCTGAGAGCCCAATACCTTTGACACTAACAGTCAGATATTTTCCCTGACTTCTGCAGACAGCGATGATGATTTCTACTCGGCTTCCGATCATTCCGACACCACTTTACAGCAGTGGGCAGCCGAGAGCCCCGTGCCCAGCTTTGATGACAACGACTCCCATTCTAACAGGACCAGCATACTCATCAGATTTGCCATCAGAGAGGTACAGATTTGAATTTCTGCAAAACTGATTGACTGTGTTGTGGAGTTGCATCAAAACGGAGCAGACATCTTAAAAACCTGCAAAATAGAAAAGGGAACAAAGAATGGCAGTGATGGAGGGTCAGGAATCCAGGGTTTTTTGAAAATGAATTCTGTTACTGACTCTTATTCGACATTGGTATTTGTAAACTCAAATCGTCCAAACTCTTAGGCATGATCTGTTATTTAATGCATATTATGGAAGAAGGATTTTACTGAAAGGAATTTATATTTTGTGGTTAGCGTCATTCTAGAGCGTTGAAATGAAATACAGTGCTGTGTTCATTGGATGAATAAGATCATGAATCTGATCTGATTTTAAAATACTTCTTTTCTGTCATGTATTTCAGAGTTGAATCAAATGAAAAAAAAAGTCAAGATGTAATTTCCTCTGTAAATACATTTGTTGCAAGTTTATAAATATGTTGTTGAAATAAAGTTATAAAAATAAACAGAAATAAAGTTAACAGCACACTGTAGACTGAATGCTACCATGCATCACAGTGCATTGTCTAAGAAACTATAATATCTAAAGTTGAATTGAAGAAAGGAATTATACTCATAAATTGATATTTCCCTCCAGATGGTCCTGTCAGTGTCCAGAAACCACACCTCTCCACCCACCTCTATCCCACCGACTGCCTCCTCCCATGACACAGTGGGAACCAGTGATACCGAGTACCTGTCACTCCGTATTGATTCTATGTGCATTGACGTCGCCATCAGTACCTATGGTCTGGCAGTTCAATTGGGTCTCAAGGGAGTTAGGGTCATTGATAAATTCCACATGGGTGAGTACACTGGCCAAGTGTTTTCTTAAATGCATATAACACATCACGTTTCATTCCTCTTTCTAAAGAAATGTTTAATACAGATGTTTTGAAAAATATTTATGCAAATTTAAAACTAGATAAGTCGGTTAATACCAACTTTAGATTTGCATTACTCTTTCGTGATGACTTTCCCTAAAAAAGTTTGTGACTCGATTTGAAATGATGCTTGGAAACGGTGTTTTCTTGACTGTGGACTAATCAAAGACTGTACATCAGAGTCTTATTGGATTGCATGGATTACAAGCAGGTGTGTCTGTTAACACAGTAGAAATGCATCTCGTTTAATGCTCTATCAAGAATAGCAATGTTGGATTGTATCCTGACCTGTACGAGTGTTACTAAGGTACATTGTAGAACTTGTGAAATAAATGTGTCCTATCTTGATAAATGGTGACATATGAAGGCTGTGTGTAGAAGTTATCTCTGGAGGTTGATGCATGGGTTCATATTGTGATAATCATATATATTTCTCAGGTCATGATGGGATGTACCTTCATCTTCTTAGCTCAGCCTCCAAATCTGATCTGGTGTCAGTCCTCTATAGAAAGGTAATCAAATTGCTCCCTGTTTCTTGCTAAAATGAAACTGCATTGCTTTATTCAGTAATTCAGAATTCTTTCTTACTTGTGTATTTATCCATCCACTTTTCTTGTGCAGCATCGTAATTCTTGTCCACCGATTAAATTCAGTGTTACCTTTTTATGTGGATGCACCTTTCCATGGGAAATTCCATGATAAAGATCACAATTACCCTTTGAAAAAAGTCATCATTTTCGGCATATACCTGTCCCGGTCCATTATTGTTTCACTTTTGAAATCCTAGTTCATGTTATAAGAATTCCCTTTTTTTCTACAGGTGAACCCAACTTGTCCAGATTTTGTGGCTTATTACAACGCCATGGAGCAGGCAGTAATGGCTAAAGTCACTGCTCTCAATGTGGTGTTCCATAGGACAGCTGCATTGATGCTCAAAGAATTCCTACAGGAACTAATGGACAGGTATTGACCTGTCATACTCTGTCTCAGATGTGACAAGGAGAAAATTACCAGAATAATTGGCTTTGTGGCATAGTAGAATTTTCACACAGTTAAATGTTGGAAGACAGGGTTATTATCCAAACTGCAGTTGGAAACTGACTTTGTTGAAGATTTCAAACGTTCTCAGTGATGAGCTCATTTAATCAGTTTTCCACCATTGCTTACTGCTAAGGAAGACATTTTGCATAATTTGTCTGTTGTGTTGACCAACTATGCTTGCTTAAGCTCTCTATTGTGCTACTCATTTGCATGTAGTTTCATGACCTCTGGTTTGGGTGAACCTAGTACAACTACCCAATTGGATGGAACCACCACAGATTCAGTCCCCAGTCAGCCTACTGACCCAAGAGCTAGCCAAGAATTCCCTGACCAACCTGAGCCTCAGACTACGTCACCTTCAGATGAAGGTAGGTACGAAATGCCTTCAAGATGATTGGAGAATCTGCTTCTTTTTCATACCTAATTCTAGGTATACGTCGTGAGTCTCACTTGGAAAGCACTGCATAGTATACATATTAAATGCTAAAAGTCTTTAGTATGCGTTTATGTACCATCAAAGTTCACTGGCTTGGCCACACAGAACACCCTCGACAGCACTGACCTGGATCCTAGTCACGCTGAAGACACAGTGGTGCACAAATTGTCAGTTGTTATCTTAATGCCTCTATTGTGAAATTCTAAATCTATTCCAATTTGGTTACCCACTTAAGTTGCCTGTACAAGTCTGTTACACATCCATTGATTTGGGGATATGTTTTGTGTTGATTTATTGTTGTTTTAGGTTTACTACATTCATTCCATTGGTTTTGAGCTTCATATACTTTTAGTTTTAGTATCATTTAGTACATACATATTTTCACATTTTTTTTACTTTCACTGTTCACAAATGCCACCCAACTATTTAAATTGATGTGAAATATGTACATTAAAACAGGAAATAATTGTGTTTGTTGTCTCAGTGTTTTGAAAGAACATGCTTGAGGGCTACTATATCCTAAAATGACAGAATATGGAAGGATAAACCAATAATTGCTCATCAATGGGAGTTGCAGTAAATCTCTATTCTGATTTGCATCAGAAAGAAATATTCGTAAACATTGCTCCGGAGTGTTACCAAAATATTTTCTTCGTTCAACAGCTCCTAAACCCCCTGAGCCACGAGGCACCACCAAGTTCTTTGCCCTTGCCAAATTGGACTACCTGTGTATATCTTTCTGTGATGTGAGTGACCTGCTAGCCAATGTGTTTGTCAGAGATCTAGAAGTATCCGCCAATGACAGAGCCAGCAGGACCACCTTGAGAGCAAGGTAAAGCTTCCAGCATGGTTTTTCTCAAATGCCTGAAAAACGTTGTTTTCTTAGTGAGCCACGCTCCTTTGAGATATGAATAGAGATATGAAGTGTGTATTTATGCAGGGTATTGGTGGGACAGGGACAGTGAACTTGCACCAGTCTCCAGTATTTTTCCTGGGAAGGATAGCAGTCTAATATACCTGTACTTTATTTCAGTGTGCTCAAATTTGAGCCCAATACTTCAATCCTGATATTATTTCCCTATATATGTATGTGATTGCTCATACGTGTACATACAGTGTATGGCTCTCCCATCTGTACATGTGATGTGATCAAGCAAAATGAGTTCTTTGTCAACCCAGGCCAGTTTGTCGGATTTCATTCCTTGGAAAGGTGTACAATGTCAGCTTCATTTCTCTGAAAATCTTAACCCTAAAACAACATTTAAATCAACAATAGTGGAGGTTGAAACATGAAAATATTTAAGTTTGGACATTTTATTCTGAGATGTTTCTTCAAATAAACATTCCACAAATGACTCATTTTGCTTGATCACATCTCATATGCTGTCACTTGTGCCCTTTAAAAATGGATGAAATTGTTCTTTGAAGCCTTCTTAAAAAGTGTGTAGGTCAGCTACATGTACAAGGGGTCCATATCTTCCAGCAGAATGATGTTTCAGGGTTTCTTGGCATTTTCTTCCATTCTCCTAAACTCTGTGACTAGGTAGCGTAGGGTTCTCCATAAATCCCTGTGATCCCCTTCTCACACCGGAGAAAGTGAACAAGAAGGGAAAGTTATCATTGAAGCCAGTGTGACAAGTAATAAACAATGTTGATATTATCCCACTGGTACTGTGAACGGCAGTGCTTAGTGCGTGATATGTTCATCCCACCAGCTACTCCCTGTATCCCATCCTTGTGCATGAATCGCAACAATGTTTCTGAACTCAAGTCGTTACATGTAACACGTTGCAACTGGTGACAAGTCTTTGGTCTTAACAAGAAGTAGTTGTTGCAGCTGAAATGTTTCTTATTTCTCCTGCAACTTGCCGCATTTTGCCTAAACAGAACCCGTAATCATTCTTGCTATGAATTCCTGCCATCTTGTTTATTTGGACCTTGAAGGTTGAGGGATTTCTCCATTGAAGACCCTGTTGACAACAGTCTGTACTCCAAGATCCTGTGTCTTCAGGATCAGACCGCATTTGATGTCAAGGTAAGGTGTCAAAGACACTGCACAGTGCAGCTGTCCCAAAATTTCAGAATATCCCACAATTGGGAGCAGTTGTTGCCATGAAGACACAGAAAAGTAGTCAAAGTTTCTGCACATTCATTAAGGAACTAGCTTGGTCAAGGTTTGTACTTCGTAGGATCATTGCTTGTTCTCACATATTAAAGCAATCTGAAAAGAATACGGTGTGCTGAAGTTTAAGATTTTGTGAGGAAAGTATATACCGGTATGACAGGTTATCACAGAGTGTTAACCCCTTCGCGACGAATGACGGTAAAGAGCTGTTGTAAAAATTGAGATCCTCAGCCCGCTTTTCATCTATCATTCTCGGCCCATGCTTGAGCAAACAAGTGAAAGGAGGCAGACCCTGGCTCTTGTATATATGGTGATTGGCGTTTGTGTGCTGCCAAGAAATGAAAAGGCCAAATTTGCATCATAATCACCAGCTTCACAATAGTCCCCAATTTGAAAAGAGGCAACGGGAATGTGGAAGTGTGAGTAGAGCCGCATGCCACCGAACAATGAGCCTTTTCACTGTGTAATTCAAAGCGTGCAGAGCACGCAGGCCCATAAACCGAGAATTTGCGGTTTGGCAGGTGGCCTTCGTGGCCAAGCGAGGCTGGTATTCTCGGAGTCGGCTTTCAGAAAAAAGTTCCCGTCGTCAAGGGGTTAAGAACCCATTAGGCAGTGTCATGTCACTGATAGTACCTGTCTTTCTCTATTCATCCATCCATATTTCATAGTTTGGAATCTTCAAGAAGCTTCCAGGAACCAGACGCAAAGCCCTGCCAAAGGCCATTAGTAGTTTCTCTGAGTCAGACGGAGTGGCCTCATCGCCAACTGGACCGTCTACCAGACCGGTTCCACCTCCGGATCCAGTACATGTTGACTACAGTCTGAGGTTCCGTGGAGGCAGGATCCAGGCTGTGCTGATGGGACAGTTCATCAGGAATGTCACTGTATGTACAAAATATGTTTAAGTTAAAATATCAGGTATATGTGAAGTTATAAAGATGTACAAATAAATTGACTGGAGTGGGATTTGAACCTGCGACCTCTGGAATACTTTACTGGTGCTATAGCAACTGAGCTACCCGTCCCTATTAGTGAAGTTGTTAGTTTTTAAATAGTAGGAATTCATGAGGAATGGACCAAGTTTTGTAACCAAGCTCTGATTAGTGGGAGCTGTTGAATATATTTGCAAATTTGTTGACCAATTATGCAAGACATCACATCTCATCCTCAAGATTGTGTCTAATCATAGGCCACTTGCATAACGCAATAAGGTCCCCCCCAAATTAGTTCTGCTTCAGATTACATGTCTCTCTAAAATAGGGTCGGTAGGTTTTGGTCAATATTTCTGTGCTTATTGAATGGCGTGAATTGCATGAAGCTACCAAAAATTGCTACTGTGATAAAACGTTACATTAACCCTAACTGCCCAAAACCTGCCATACTCCAACAGCAGGTTTT